TCGTCGATGAGGACCGGAAGAGCGGCATCAATAGTCTCAACCTGGACCTGGGTTGGTATCCGGTGCCTGAAATCCAGCATCGCCGGGCTGTTCGTGTGGATGGATCTCCGGCGGCAACAATAGTCTCGACCAGGACGTAATAAAAAGAGGGGTTTTGGAAGGGTGAAAGTATGGGGGCTAGCCAAACCTGAGGATACGGTGTGGGTGTGTGTTTTCCGGTGGGGGAAGGGAGGTGGAAGGAGATTTTGGAGGGGTTCTTGGCGATGGTCGTTTGATGATTTGGTGCGAAGGGCGGCGACGGCGAGATAATTGATAAGGGGGAAAGGCCGAAAAGGTATTTGGTTGCAGGGGTGGGGACTGGGGAGACTGAGACTCTGTCTCTTTTTTATTTTTATTTTTTTTATTAACATGTCATTAAGTTAATGGTCCAGTCAGCAGTTTCATTTGCCACGTCATCAAAAAACTAACGGAGTTAACGGAGTTTGACGGAGGCTAACGGTCGGTGACTAATGGTGAAACAATTCGTAAAGTGAGTGGCGAATAAGAAAGAAAAGTAATTCGGGTGGCAAACGTGAAAGATTTATGTAATTTGAGTGACCAAATATGTAATTTAGCCTTTTTTATAGATATGAATCCATAATCAACTAAATTCAATACAAGTACACAATAATCATTCTACCGTCAAATTGATTAAAGAATCACACAAAAATAAGAGACCCAACAACAATTACTCAACTCATAAATCCCACCAAATTCCATGGAAGCTAAAATGTTATTAATTGTTCTCAAACTATGGTGTACAAGTCTGACTTTCTATTGTACTCCTTTTAAAGACCTTTCTTGAAATTATGCTCATTTGAACATAAGTCACTGTTACAACTTACAACTAGATATGCAAGAGATCTTGTAGTTCTTCAAACATCCCATTATAATTTGTCTATGCAAGCGACTTATTGAGCCTATTATTTTTTACCCTAACTATGAGGATGGTCGTAATCGATTAATCGGTTAACCATTTAACTGTCGGTTACTAATCATTTAATCATCAGTTAGTAGTTATCTAAATTTGATTACTGAAAATTGACCATTTACTGCTCGTTATCAATTTTGCCGTTTATCATCAATTCCAATTCGATTACACCACTAATAGGATAACCGTTTATCCGCCCAACCTCGCTAAATAAGCCTGGTTCCGCCTATGGCCTACGGTGGCATCAAATAGGGGTGGGCAACGGGACGGGACGGGATACCCGTCCCGTTTTAAACGGGTACCCAGTCCCGTTTGGAGATCAAAGTCCATCCCATATCCCAAACTCATATGGGAAATGGGTACCCATTTCCCGTACGGGACGGATAACGGGTACCCATACTACCCATAAATACCCAAAGTTTACACCACTAAAATTTTAACAAAAGTTTAAACTTAACTTGTATTTGCTTAACAATCACAAGACACAAAATACATCCCAATCACAAATACTCGGCTTGCAAATAATACATTCATGAACAATCACAACACGTAGAAATAAATCATTCCAAGCACCAAATTATTAAATAAGAAGTTTCATTCAACACAACCAAATGGGAGGCATGCTACTACTTTTCTTGTGTTGCTGAATGCAGAAAGTGTCCAAATTTTTAGGTTCATGGGAAGCTAAAATCTATAACATATAAAAGAAACTTTCTTCAAGCTGTTGGTGGTGCAGTTCTGCCTTTTCCAGGAGGCTGCTGCTGAATTGAAACTGCAAAGGTGAGGGCCCAAATGGCAAATGGAATTGAAATTGCAAGGGTGAGGGTGAGGGCCGAAATGACCAATGGGTTCTGAATTGGAATGGGTTGAAATGAATTTCTGCCTTTGTATTGAATGGGTATAACGGGTACCCATATTGCCCAAACGGGTATTCGCGGGTAACCCGCGGGTACCCATATTAGGAATGTACAATCCCAAGTCCCATCCGTTTATAATATTAAGGATAATATGGGTACCCGTAACCCTTAAAAAATGGGACGGGTACGGGTATACCCAAATACCCGTTTCCCGTTGCCCACCCCTAGGTAATAGGGTCAAATTGGATAAATATAATTTTGTTAAAAAAATCAACAAACAACAAAAATGTAAGAAAGTCAGTAAGTCACATGATTAATAATATCAATTTATTTGAGAGATTGAGCTTTCTTACATTAGCTTAGTTTGGCCCTGCTGTAGCTTTTGCAGAAGCAGCTTCTGGCTGGAGCTTTTAGATAAGTACTTTTCAAAAAAAGCAGTTTAGTGTTTGGCTGTAAAACTATTAGAAGTGCTTTTTAATATGAGCGGTTGTGTAAAATGACTATAAAGGACTTATAATATAAAATATAAATAAAAATTCGAAACAATAAAAAGTAGTCAAAATGGATCTTGTTAGATTTCTTTTATATTAAATAATATGATTTTATAATTTATTTTATTTTTAAAATGATATAAATGAAGGAAAATTATATTTTCTGAAATAAAATTAAAATATGGTAAGGATAATCTTGTATTTTCAAAACAGCTTTTCGCAGAAGCTCCAAATCGGAGCTTCTGCTTTTATGTTATACAAAAGCGCTTTTCGGCTTTTCAAAAGCCGAGCTTTTAGAGGTGTTTGGCCCTGCTTAAGCTTTTGAAGCCGAAAAGCACTTCTAAAAGCCGGGCCAAACATAGGCATTAGATATACTGGAGTCAAGATATGATGCTATCGAATTTAAAGTATACTTAATTCGGCCAATATTAATATAAGTTCAACAATCGAAAATAGGGTGGCTGAGATGACGTTGTTTGTTGTTGGTGCACGATGATGCTATGCATGTTCACGCTCAAGTTGGCATTAAATAATATCATTGATTATTATCAGCTTTCTTTTACCTCTCATCAGTTCCTCTTCGCCTGTTATTAGATACTATATTAGAGAATCCATAAAGCATTAAATAGTTTTTTTCTTCTTCTAGGGGGATGTTGAAGGTTGAATGAATTTTTTCAAGACTGAAAGTTGAATGATCAATGAGTAAAATGACCAAGTTTTGAGGTTCATTTATAGAAACCCAAAAAGTCAGCAATATATATGTCTCAAAGCTGAATAAGCAGTTAATGACACAATTTATTATGATTTAAAAATGGGTTAATTGCATGGTTGGTCACTAACATTACAAAAAGCGTTCATGTTTGGTCACTAGAAAAATTTAAATCCATTTTTGGTCACTAACTTTACAAAAACCGCTCATTTATGGTCACTCTCCGTTAGCTGCCGTCCAACGCCGTTAACGGCGTCCGTTAAGTGATGACCTGGCTGACGAATTCGCCTAATCAGCACCTTTTAACCCCAAAATTGACTGACCCGACCCGCCACGTCATTTAAACCCGCCATGTCAGCCAAACCTAACCAAACCTCTACCCAAACCCGACCAGACCCAACCCACCAACAAAAATGACCCACCCGCCACTAATCAAAACCTAATTTCTAAAACTAAAACCCTACAGAACATTCCTCTTCTCCTCTCCATCTCGCGCCGCCGTCATCTCTCTCGCGAAAGTTCCTCTCCACTCGTTTCATCGGCGACGAAGGAGGAATGGAGCCCGCCAATCAGTGTGGTTGACCCTTCTTTGAAACAGAGAAGGAGTGATTCACGTAGCAAAATCTCTATATCCAGAGTTCATTAAGTGAAGAAACATGGTGAGAACACCTTCCTGTGACCAAAATGGGATGAGGAAAAGGACCTGGACTGCAGAGGAAGACAGGAAGCTGATCGCCTATGTCACTCGCTATGGCTGCTGGAACTGGCGCCAGCTCCCCAAATTTGTAGGTACTTGAGACCAAATTTTTTTTCTCTCTTAGCCTTTGACTAGAAATCAACAACTGGGTTTCGGTCAAAATCAACTGGGTTTCACTCAAAAATCAATTCTGAGCAAAATTGAGATTCAACTTTTTTCAAGGCTGAAAATGTGCGGGAAGAGCTGCAGGCTGCGGTGGATGAACTACCTCCGCCCCAATGTGAAGAGAGGGAATTACAGTAAAGAGGAAGAAGAGACCATCCTCAACCTCCACTCATCCCTTGGGAACAGGTAATTAATTTACAGCTTGCTTCCTGCCAAGTTCATTCAGTCATAGAACGAACCACTGGAATTACAGTAACTAACCACTCGTTTCATCAGCGACGAAAGAGGAACTTTCGCGGGAGAGATGACGGCGGCGCGGGATGGAGAGGAGAAGGGGAATGTCCTGTAGGGTTTTAGTTTTAGAAATTAGGTTTTATTAGTGGCGGTTGGGTCATTTTTGTTGGTGGGTTGGGTCTGGTCGGGTTTGGGTAGAGGTTTGGTTAGGTTTGGCTGACATGGCGGGTTTAAATGACGTGGCGGGTCGGGTCAGTCAATTTTGAGGTTAAAAGGTGTTGATTAGGCGAATCCGTCAGCCACGTCATCACTTAACGGACGCCGTTAACGGCAGCTAACGGAGAGTGACCATAAATGAGCGGTTTTTGAAAAGTTAGTGACCAAAAATGGATTTAAATTTTTCCAGTGACCAAACATGAACGCTTTTTGTAATGTTAGTGACCAAGCATGCAATTAACCCATTTAAAAATAAATGAATCGTTGACGACACAATTTATTATGATTAAAGTTGAATGAACAGTTGATGACCCAACTCTAACAAATATGTGTTGAGCATATGTATTCTTAATAAATTATTGTGTGTTTCATCATTGAATAAGCATTTTTCTCATTATTTTTGTCCAAATTTAAAAAATTGCATCAAAATATTCTTCTTAATTAATTCATATTATGTATATAAAAAAAATTTAAGTGAACTACCTAAATAAGACGATGAATTCTACGTTAAACAATATTGCGTAAAAAACTTTAGTTGGAGGATTTAACACTTGGCTCTCTTCCTTTTTGGAGTAAAAAAAAAAAATACAAATTTAACATTCACTCTACCACTTTGCCATTGAGAAGGTCTAAAAGGGCAAAGGGGAATAGGGGGATCACTTCACTGGTTGCAATTTGCAATTCAATTTCGAAGTTCTGTTTCAGTTGAGAATGGCAAAATCGTAATTGGGCCAAGTTTCAACTCCATTTTGCCAAGCCAGTGTTATAAATCCGGACAACGGTCTTCTGCCCTTTCCTCCACAAAAACCCCACTCTGACAGTCGCAGCAACAAGCGACTGTGGTTGTTGTCCTTTCTTCCTTTTTTTTACAGTTTCTCACATCTTGAATCTAAAAAATTACTTCCCAAATCCAGGAAGAAGAAGAAGAAGCAGCAGTAATCCATCCCCTCTCTCAACAATGGCCTCCGCGGCCCGCATTTCCCTCTTCACACTCCTCTTCCTCTACACTCTCACCACCACCGCCATAGCCAACAAGCAGACCTACATCGTCCACATCAAACCCAACTCCAAGCCCCAATCCTTCGCCACACACCAAGACTGGTACTCCTCCTCCCTCGCCGCCGACGACTCCCTCCTCTACACCTACGACGCCGCATTCCACGGATTCGCCGCCTCCCTCGACCCCGACCAGGCCGACGCGCTCCGGAACTCCGATTACGTCGTCGATGTCTACGAGGAGACCGTCTACACCCTCCACACCACCCGCACCCCTCAGTTCCTCGGCCTCAACAACGACTTCGGCCTGTTCGACGGCAACCACCGGCCTCTCGACGTCGACCAGGCCTCCTTCGACGTCGTCGTCGGCGTCCTCGACACCGGCGTCTGGCCGGAGTCCAGGAGCTACGACGACTCCGGGATGCCCGAGATCCCTGCCCGATGGAAAGGGGAGTGCGAGTCCGGACCCGATTTCAGCCCCAAGCTCTGCAACAAGAAGCTAATCGGCGCCCGTTACTTCTCCAAAGGCTACCACATGGCCGCCGGGGGAAGCTTCGGGAAGCAGCCTACTAAAAAAGAGGAAGAATCGCCCCGCGACAGTGACGGCCACGGCACCCACACCTCCAGCACCGCCGCGGGATCTATGGTGGGCAACGCTAGTCTCCTCGGGTACGCTAGCGGAACCGCGCGTGGGATGGCCACGCACGCGCGCGTCGCGGCCTACAAGGTGTGCTGGAGCACCGGCTGCTTCGGATCGGACATCCTCGCCGGGATGGATCGCGCGATTCACGACGGCGTCGACGTGCTGTCGCTCTCCCTCGGCGGCGGATCGGGGCCGTACTACCGCGACACCATTGCGATTGGGGCGTTCAGCGCGATGGAGAGGGGCATTTTGGTCTCTTGCTCTGCCGGTAACAGCGGGCCCACAAGGGCCAGCCTGGCGAACGTGGCGCCGTGGATCTTGACGGTCGGGGCCGGTACTCTCGACCGGGACTTCCCGGCTTTTGCCGCTCTGGGCAACGGGAAGCGGTTCACCGGGGTGTCGCTCTACAGCGGGGCCGGGATGGGTAAGAAACCGGTCGGGTTGGTTTACAGCAAAGGAACCAACAGTTCGAGCAACCTGTGCCTGCCCGGTTCGCTCCAACCGGAATTGGTCAAGGGCAAAGTGGTCCTTTGCGACAGGGGAATCAACCCGCGCGTGGAGAAAGGCGCGGTCGTGCGCGAGGCCGGCGGGATCGGTATGATCATGGCGAACACCGCGGCCAGCGGCGAGGAATTGGTCGCCGACAGCCACCTGCTGCCGGCGGTGGCCGTGGGGAGGAAATTGGGCGACGTGATCAGGCTGTACGCCAAGTCCGATCCGAACCCGACCGCGGCGTTGAGCTTCGGCGGGACGCAGCTGAACGTGAGGCCGTCGCCGGTCGTGGCGGCGTTCAGCTCCCGGGGCCCGAACATGGTAACGGCGCAGATCTTGAAGCCGGATCTGATCGGGCCGGGAGTCAACATCTTAGCGGCATGGTCGGAGGCGATTGGGCCCACTGGGCTCGAGAAGGACTCTAGAAAGACGCAATTCAACATCATGTCAGGTACGCAATTCAAAACCAGTACATTTTCCCAAACGGTCTTTTAACTTTACTGGAATTGCTCAAAACTTAGACCATAATGCTTTTTGCCGTTGTGGCTTGCTGACATCGTTGAATTGTGCGTGTCTTACGATTCGTTACTGTTGGATGCACACGCGATAATTACTTACAGAGAGTTTCACTAACTGCATCTAACAGTTGCGAATTGCATAATGTTCGATCCAACGATGTAAGCATAGCATTAGCACGCTAAATAGAAACACCACTACTACTACTACTAACACTAGTACTATTGTTTAGTTTAAGCCGTGACACAGCCACATTTGAGAATTCAGTTAATGAAAGTAGGTGGAGTTGATAGATTAATAGTTGTAAATTACAAGTTGGCAATTCATTTATTTGTATGCCAATCTTGATCTGAGTTAGGTTTAGCAAGCCAGCCAACTGTCTTATTGTTCCTCCTTTATTGGGGATAAATGGAAGACAACAGTTAATGGCTTTGATTGATTGATTGAGAGAGCTTTGGAGCGGATAGTGGAAGAGTTCGATAAAGAGAGTAGGTAGCTTCATTATTATCAAGCCCACAGTTAAAGGAGGGAATTCCGCTTGTCTTCTCTCTTTTTTGGCCCTACCCTGCTGCTCCATTTCCTTCTTATTATTCTAAAGGTGGTTTCTTTTCATTCTACCAATGGCGTCCTCCTTGCATTCACATTGAATCATTAGTTTGGACTGTGCTTGCTTGCCAGGCCACTTTGGCCTTTCTGTAGGGCTCCAGTGCCCTTACAATGATGAAGAATCAACAATTCAACACCCTTTTTACCGCCCCATGTGGGTCTGCTGCGCATGCTTTGATGAAGGGTTAAAAGATCAGAGATTTTAACTTTGATTTTCTTCTGTTCACAGGTACATCAATGTCCTGCCCGCATCTCAGTGGCGTGGCTGCGCTGCTGAAAGCTGCCCACCCGACCTGGAGCCCGAGCGCGATCAAGTCGGCACTCATGACAACCTCCTACGTTGTTGACAACACCAACGCCCCTCTCAAGGACGCCGCCGACGGTTCCCTCTCGACTCCCTGGGCTCACGGGTCCGGCCATGTCGATCCACACAAGGCCCTATCTCCGGGCCTCGTGTACGACATCTCCACGGACGAGTACATCGCGTTCCTGTGCTCCCTCGGCTACACCCTCGACCGCGTCCAGGCGGTCGTGAAGCGCCCCAACGTCACCTGTGCAACCAAGTTCAAGGACCCCGGGAGCCTCAACTACCCGTCTTTCTCCGTCGTGTTCGCCCGCACCAGGGTCATCAGGTACACTCGTGTGCTCACCAATGTGGGTGCCGCGGGGTCTGCGTACGAGGTCGAGGTCACCACGCCTCGGTCCGTGACCGCGACGGTGAAGCCGACCAAGCTCGTTTTCAAGAAGGTTGGGGACAAGTTGAGGTACACGGTGACTTTTGTGTCGAAGAGCAGGGGAGGGAACGCTATGTCGGACTTCGGTTCGATAGTGTGGAGGAATGAGCTGCATCAAGTGAGGAGCCCAGTTGCGTTTTCGTGGTCCGAGTTATAAGGCCTGTCAGAACTGTCCGTCCGGCCCATAGTTGAGCTTTTGCTTTTTACATTGTGTTATGGTCCAATGAGGGATTTGTTTGTTGGGCCGGTGCGCTCGAAGAAAAAGAGGCTGGACTGGGCTGGGCTTTCGTTAGATGTTCGGGGTTAGTGGGGGAAGTTTAATGTTGTCCGTGTGTTTGCTTGTGCAATAGAATGTGCCATCTAAGTGGTAAAGATGGCTCTTCTTGCCTCTCAACTAAATATGATAGAAAATATCGATCGAGTTCTTGGCAATCAGAGGATTTTAATAGAATTTCTCCCCCCCAAAAAAAAAAAGTAATAATAACAACCTAAGTTGAGATTGTTTCTCAATACAACGAATTTTTATGTTGACTCAGCAAGACTTAGGTTCACACCGGTGACATTTAACAATATCGCGGTTCACATCAACGTTGTAAGGTAATAATGTCGCTTTACTGGCTATAAACATTCTCCTATTGTGCACTCAAAATTAGGATTTTGGTGACCTTTCAGAAATACGAAGGTTCGTGCAAAAATAAAAAGAAAATGAATCTGACAACACTATATAGATGCTAACTAGATTTTTTTGTTAAATACTAACGGTCAACGCTGATCAACATTAACGAAAAAATAGTTCGTGCCAGATTTGTCATATTGAATAGTTTAAAACACAAATTACAGTTTTTGAATAGTTTGGATTTTCTTGTGAAATTAGACTTAATTTTTACTCTATATTGTTTTTTTATTTAACATGGGAGATATCGACTTCCTATTATCTATCAAGTAGGTTGTCAAAACTCTTATTGCTGTATGTACATAGCGAATAAGCCAAATAAGAGTTCAAAGACAACATAAAATGCACAAAGAGTTTACCTAACTATACTCTCTAGTGTCCACAATCCCCAAATAAACTGGGATTCATTTGCTTGTTGGATTTAAATAATTAGGGTTTTGGGCATAAAATAATCTTAGAATTTGTGATGAATTTATTGTATTATAGATTTGAAGAGTTTATTTCTTACATGATAGATTTGATGATATATTTCTCATGAATTTGTTACATATATAAGTGTTTTCCCGGCGAGAAAATCTAGATGAACAGAATTGGATTTTTGCACCTTTTTGACTTCCAAACAAACGATCAAACAACACAGTTCACACCTCTTTGAACAAAGTTCAAACAAGGGTGTTCAATATTTTGATGAACTACGAGGCAAATCTACATTAAATTAGCCCTACTCCTATGGAGGTTCAGTGAGAGCTCCGAAACTACAACTATGGCTACAATTGCAGAGGAAAAGGTAAAGATAAAAGGACAAAATTTGACAATAGGTTGTCTGGTGTGATTTTGGCGAACCCTTTCTCTGTCATCTTCACCTCCTATTTATAGCCACCAGAAGTAACTGCCACAAGAAACTGCTCTGCTGACGTGGAGTGACGGTTACCCTCTCAATTGCTATGATGGTTACCTTGATGTTGGATGTAGACCCTCTTCAATCTTGGCCCCTCCTCTTGAGACCTCACTTCATGCTCTTGGCATCTCCTTCGTAGTTTTGCTTATCCATAGAGTAAAAATGGCTAAGGCATAAAGAAATACCACTTACCACATATGGGTGGGTATTTGAATAACATGAGTTAAAAATGGCAAAAAGTACTTCACCATTAGTAGAGTAAAGAGACCACCTCACACATGCCATACCATGGGGGTGTACATTGGTGACCCCCTCACCATACCATTGGGGGGATCCTCCATGGGGGTCATATGGATCACCCCCGCCACTATATCATCCTCATGGGAGCCGCCACACATGGGGTCATGGGGGTGGCGGTATGACGCCCACCCACCTTGCCACGTCCTGGGGGTGGTATGATGATGGACACCCCCCTTGGTACCTCCTGGGGGTGGTATGATGATAGTCACCCTCCTCGGTACCTCCTGGGGGTGGCTACCATACTCCTTGCCTTCGCCAAATTCGGCAATCACCACCATCACCATGTCATGGGGTTGGCGGTATGATGCCCACCCCCGTTGGTACCTCCTGAGGGTGGCTATCATTCTTCTTTCCTTAGTCAAATTCGGTCATAACCCCCCTCACCTGGTCATGGGGGTGGCGGTATGGTGCCCACCCCCTTGCCACGTCCTGGGGGTGGCTCCCATACTTAGCCAAATTTGGAGATACATGACGCGCGTGGTGGCCTGGAGTAATGGGCCCAAAAACCCAATCTCCATGGCCCACTCAACTGATTTGAACTGATATGATTAAGTTGGCCTTATAAAGCCATTTAATTTCTTGTTTTTAACCGATGTGGTATAAGGTTAATTTTTGGTGTAAACAATTGCCCCCCAACTACTTAGTGCATAAGAATTATGGACTAAGTAGTTTCACACCAACTAGGCCATCAAACTCAAATAGTTGGCCTTACAATTTAAATGACCAAAACAATCCCAATTTCTTCTCATTTGTTGCCGTGTGGGAGAAAGGAAGGGAGTCAAACATAATTATTCCATTGTCCTTTCATCTCGACACAACCGTGCCCCCCATGCCACTGTGACCACCACTTATGGTCACTCTTAAATCACATGGCGTGGTATCTTTTGAAGTTATTGGGCTAGAACAACATCATGCCCCTCTAGTTAATCCAAACTTCTACTAATCATACCCCATGTCTTGTCATGGGGTATATGGTTCACACCTTACAAAATTTTAAAGTTTGGCATGGTTAGGCCACCTTAATGGCCTGACAATACGAGTAATGATTGAGGCTTACCAGTCGCGGCAAGATTCTCACATCAAAACCTACTAACTTCTTCTGAAACTTGCCACTTTGGCATTTTAAATATATATATATATATACATATATACATATATGGTAGCTTCTATCGTACCTTGGGTAAAATCGAAGGTATGACATACCTTGAGTAAGAAAATGCTATCTAGACCTCAAATTAACCGAATTTTTTGGCATGATACTATACCCTAACTCTTGATGGGTGAACCCTATGTCTTATTCATCTAAATCATATAAAGCTTAACCCCTAAGATTGTGCATGTAAATTTTGGGATATATTGCGACGAATCAGGACCATCAATTTTTGTTTATAATTAAATTGATCTTAGTGTATGAGATTTATAGAACTAAGACATAGATTTCAATCTTCAAGGGTTTGGGCATATTACCAGATGCCAAACTCCGGTCAATTCAATGTCTAGATATCATTTTCTTACTCAAGGTATGCTATACCTTTGATTTTACCCAAGGTACGATAGAACCGTCCATATATATATATATATATTGCCATGATTGGCTTTTCTATATTAATTAATATTTTTTTTTACCTTTTTATTGCATATAATAAGTAGTTACAAGCATCATTGATCTCCATAGCCTTTGGCAATAACCAAAGTGCCAAAGGTATACATCCACTACCAAGTCCATGTATTAAACCAAACAAGTCAACCATACACCATATGGCCATGGTTGTTCAAAGGAGATGATTCTTCACAAGCTGGCTTTGAATCACCACCTTCACCATTTTTTCCCTTCTGACCCTTACCATCACTTTGGACTTGGACATGCTTGCCCTTGTCATACACTATTACTTTGGGACCCGTGGCCATAGAGTTGTCCACCTCAATAGTAGCATGACCATCCTCATTTTGTTGTGATGGCCCCACTATCTCACCAGGTACTAATGGGTATTGCCCCTTTCGTGCTTTAGCATTCTTACGTAGGAATCTCCTCCTTTGAGTCATTGTCATCCCCCCAATAACTACTGGTTGACTATGCATATCATAAGTATGCCCCCCTCCTTGTGGCACATTGGGCATCTTGGAAGTCCTTCTCATGGGAAGAGGGCCATGTGCCACCCATTGCCTTCTTTGCCCCCATGTCGGTTGAATGACCCCCTCTACTTGTCTTTGATAGAATGGGTATCTCGGCCTATGGGGTGGACCAATTCTTTGTTGGAATGGTCGATTCGGTCTCACCTCATCAAGTCTAGAACTCCTTTTGCATTGGGCACATAGCTTCTCCACCTCCCTTGACACCTTAGAAGCGGCCGAGTTGGCCTGCGTACCCTTCGATGACTCTCCCTGCTCGAACACCATGGTGGGGGTCCCTTGTTGCGGTGTTGTATCCAACACCAGCTTGAAACGGGGGAGCTCAATTTTTGAGAAGTCTGGGTTAACCATGTTGACACCAAGCAAGTTCGGAAATGGGTTGGTATCCACCAGCATGGCATCTTTCTTTGGCTCGGGGAGCTTAATGCGGCCCTTCTCAATGGCATCCTGCAATATATTGCGAAAAACCACACATGAGTTTGTGGAGTGTAGCATGTTGTTGTGCCACTTACAATATGTTTTCCCTCTTAACTTCTCAGGGGGTGGGATGTTATGCCCCCCTGTCAACTTGATTTGACCATCTTTGTAAAGTTGGTCAAATATCAAATCGGCTTTAGAAATATCAAATGAATACTTCCGTGGCTGGATGGGGGCACAATTTGGTCTACCCCCTTGTGGTTCACTGTCCATATTAGCCAAAGGAGCACATACATATGGCTTCCCCAGAGTTAACTCAGCCAGGTCTACCTCCACCTCGTTGGCCTCTTGGCCAATATGGTTGACAGGGTAGCCGATGTTGGGGAAGTATTGCCCCATTGAGGCACTCCTCCTATTCTCCTCTTCTTGAAGAAGAGATTCATATCTCACCGCACAAGATATGAGTTGGAACAAGTCAGAGAATTCTCTATCTTGGAATTTTTTCCTTAACTCAAAACTCAACCCCCCTTGTGCTAACTTGACAAACTCTCTCTCTGTCAAGTTGACAAAACAACGGTTACGAGCATTCTTGAAGTTTGTCAAGAAGTGCTCTACTGACTCCCCTGGCTCTTGGCGCATTCGTGCCAAATCAGCCATGGAAACCTCACGCTCATATCTATATAACTGAGCATGGAAGATTTGCTCCATCTGCTGCCATGTTTGGATGGAGTTCGATGGCAAGTTGACATACCAGGCAAAAGCAGGTCCTGTCAATGAGTTTCCAAATACTCTTAACTTAATAAAATCTCCTACATCCCCACACTGGACAGTAAAACGTCCAATGTGCTCCACAGTAGACTGGTCCCCTGTCCCAGTGAATGTTGCAAACTCGGGCACTCTAAACCCCCTTGGGAATGGGTAGAGTCTATCCACCCACTCAGGGTATGGTTTTCGATAAACAGGTGGCATGGTGGGTCTCACTCCCATGCCAAATTGCTCGGCAAGAAGTTGAGCCACCTGATCCCTTAGAGTGTTGGGATCATGCCCCCCTGGTTGCCCCCCTTGGGGTACGAAACCCATGGGGTCCATGTCATGCC